CTCTGGCAGGTAACTTCCTAACTGCCCTCTGCAATGTCTCTCTTCTTGGAGAAATTCTAGGTAAGAGTATAGGATCCATTCTGTTAGAACAAAGTGCTCTAGTATTGAAGGAGAGATGCTGGTGGGAAAGCCAGTAAAGGATTCTGAATGTCACACTAAGGAATCTACTTGCCCTTGATGGAAACGGCCATATGGGACCACAGAGGGGATCTGAAAGAGTGATAAACTCATGGGCAAACTCATTCCCACAGTGGTGTATGCTGGCCACTGTGGAGGCCTCTGGGTAATCCAGGTGTCAGGGCCTGAGGGCTACATTGGTGGAAAAGGGAAGGCTTGAGAGACATAGTACCAGCAAGTCCCACCACCTAAAATCTGTGGGTGCCACTATGAATTAAAAGGGGGAGTCAAGAGGCAGAACCAAAGGTGGCTAACTGTGCTGGTATATGCCTCCCACACTATGTATAGATGGTTCTACTTCCATGTACAATGTGACAGTAATGAAAACATCCTGGAATCAGGGAAGAATATTCTTATTCCTAACTCCCAAGCCTAGAAAGCTGGTACATTGCAGCTAGAAAGAACACCAGTGTGTGGATCCAAGCTCAGTGCATAAGGCTATCAGCACACAGATGAGTTCATTTCCAGTGAGTGGAGAAGGGCTGTCACTCTCAGGCAGTGATCATTTTTCTGTCTTCATGTGAAATAACTTGTTGTTCGTGGTCCATGTATCTCATCTTTCCCATGGATGGAGTCTCCAGAAACTGAGGATTACATGAAACTTCAATAGCCCACCTGCTTACTCCTCTAGCCCAGGAGTTCCTTGAGGAAGACACCTGTCTATGTGCTCTTTGTTCCTAGCCCCAGCCTAAATACTGTGATTTTGCCTCCTGACAAAGTTTGGCAAATAGTCTAATGTCACCAACTGTACAGCCAAAAGCTGAAGCATACAAGCATAGAGCTACAACCTGGTCTGTAGGTCTAGTCCAGGCTACCCACCAGACCGCCACTCACAGTATCCAGGATGTAAATACTTGACTGGTTGTGCAAGACAGAGAAAAATGCCCCATTCCTACAAAAAAAGTCAAAAGCTTCTCTAAAAGAGGGAAATGGTCTGAGAAAGGAATGCATATTTTCTACCTTGCATATAAGTTCCATGTGTGCTGAGAAAGGCTTTATTCACATGTAACTTTTAGTTGGCCAAAAGAACTTTTAAAACTACATTAGAAGGCCTTTATTAATTACTAATCACTACCATTCCTCGTTGTCTTATACTCTTAGTATTTCTCATTAACTTTTAGCTACATAGCCCTGAGAAGCAGAAGTTCACAGCTCTGCAACAGAGGGCAACAACACAGACAACAAAACTTACATCTTTGGGGAGTAAACATTTGAAGGTTCTTTTCTAGGCCAGACTGAATTTTCTCTACTTCTCCCTACTTATCTTACTTCCAGAAACATAACTCTCCTCCTAGAGCCCATTCTAATTTATCTGACTAGCATTATCTAGGCCATCTTACCCTGGCCTTCTTCCCTCCATACTAACTAACCATGGTCTTCTTTCAACTATTTTATACGGTGTCAAATCTCCTCACCTTCCTTGAAATGTCCTGTTATCCTCTAAAAAGAGGAACAGCCATAATGGGAGAAAATGTAGCCATAGTCCAATCTCTTGCAAATCAGACTTTTAAAAAAGACAAAACAAACAAGCTAGCAGCATGAGCATCACTTGAGAGCTTAATATAAATGCAGAACCTCATGCCCTGCTGACCTGCTGACTCCAGACTACCACCGAGTGCTCAGACTGTGAATGCAGCCTAAGATTACACTAATTCTTGGTGGTAATTGTGCTGTGCTTTGGGCCCTGTTTGCTCCTATTTAAAATCGGTTTTAACCACATTTCCCCTTAAGATATAATCTATCATAACAAAGGATTTCTTACTTTGTAAAGATCTAGTTTGATATCTGTCTGGGAACCCAAGCAAATTCTCTAGTAAGAATCATTTGCTTAGAGATGAAGAAAACTTTTAAAAGAAATATACATTAGAAAAAAGGATAAAGGAAAATTGGCAACTACTACTAAACAGCTCAACGCACAGGCTGAGCCAGGAGGGCATTATGGCTGACCCTTCCCAGTCCTGCCTCTACATTGTAAGCTCCACTCCTGTCCTTGTGCTGGCTTTCCCTTTGTGATCTCAAGACGGCTGTCAGTGTCCCTCAGAGCTTTCATCCTACTCCACTGAGTAGAATCTTCAGACAACTTGATTTGGCTTATTCAGTTGGTTGGTTTGAGTTTTGTTGTTTTTTTGTTTTGTTTTGTCTTGTTTTTTCTTGTTCTATTTCAGACAGTTCAGCACACATTCCAGTGTTTCATTAGTCCTGATAGACTTAGCCACTTATCTCTGAGCCAACCACAGGTACAAATAGAGTCTATGTCCTAACGGGTTTAAGCTAATAAAGACCCTAAAACTAGAGTGGCTGGAAATCTGGGGGACTTGTATCAAGAATGGAAGAACTGTGGCTGCAGACTGACTGAAAACTATCGTGACAGACCTGCATTTCTCTTTCCTTGACTCTTGAAACTTTTTAGAACATCTTACATTACAGCCCACATTAGCATAGGTTTTCTATTTTAAATATCACAAACATTTAAACATTCTATTTTATCTTATTTTATCATGCTCTATCGATGCTTCAGTGATCAACTTTAAAGGGCCCTGGCTTACTTCCTGGAATAATAAAGCAATCCTAGGAGTTCTTCAGGCCACTCCAAAACCACTCCAGAGCAGTCGGCCACATGTAATAGAGAGTGCGCTTGAGAAGCAGCATCCAACGACCAGTACTGGGTATAGACTTTTGTGTTTTTCAAAAGCTCAGTAAGCAGCAGAAGTGACCACAATATGTTTGAAATATTATAGCGTGTGCTTTCAAGAGAGGACATGTCTAAAACTAGATGGGAAAAACTTATAATTTCTTAAATTAAAAACTGTAGACAGGAGAGGTAAACGTCAAAGTAAAATGAACATGGATTCTACATTACTGTTTCAAAAATAAACCTTGAAGTATAGAAAAAATTGGTAATGCAGAATTCAGAAAGCTGCTTCCCCTATGCTGTTCTGCATGCAGCTTGTGTTTGCTTTATCTGTACTAAGATTCTCAATACCTGAACACAATTGATATACAGAAAACCAATACCACTGAAGAAGGAGGGGGAAAGGGGATTAATTTATCTTCATCTTAGTGGTCAAGACATATGCTCCTCATCAAGGTGGTTATTGCTGAGAAAGTAGATGGCACTTCACGGGCCAATCACTTCTCTAGAACCACTCACACCCTGAGCTGCTTGATTCCTAAAAAATCAGTTGAGTGTCACCAGCAAGCATCATATCAGGCAATTCTGTTCTCGTTCAAAAGCATTTTACATGGCTCTTGGCCGTGCCACTCACCAAGGATACTCACTCTTGGCTCCAGTTTCCCTTCATGACAGAGGATGATTCTTTTCTCATCAGTTGCTATAAAAGTAAAACAGTGCCTGTGACAAGTCCTGGAATTCTCCTTGATTAAAGGCAAGCCTACAAGGGCCAGCATCTCCCGTCTCTCTGCTCAGGTGCAGTCAGTTCAAACTTTAACACACAACCATACAATGTTCACTACCACCACAGCCCCTTCTGGTTGTTGTCCCTGGATCCTCACAGTGCTCAGCTTCTATCATGTGACCATGAAAAGTTAGAAATGTTTGAATTTCTCAAGTTTCCATATCCACATAAAAGCCATCACAAAAGGGCCAAAGGGAATGCTTTACCCCTTAATTGAAGGAAAAGCCATGGCAAATGTAGTTTAGCCATGGGCTGCAATCAACTGCAGCATGTAGAACATCACCACCAACAAATCTCTCTCTCCTAAGATCACAGAAGAATCCTTGAGGGTTCAGCTCTCACTTGTTCAGCTTCCTCTTCTCCTAAATGCCCTTGCCTGCAAACATTAGGCATAAGCTGAAAGGAACAGCATGCGGACAAGGATGAAGGGCTTATCAACCTGAACAGCTTCAAAGGGTACTGAATTATTATTATAGTAATAGCATGAAAAACTAACCCAACATTCTCTGAGTACATTCACAGTTTTTAATATTTAACCTTGTAGCTCCTTGAGGCAGAGACAGCTGCTCAACCAGGTCTAACTCTCATATCCCATCACCTTGAGCAAATACTTTTTATTTCCTCAGTTCAGTTCCCTTAAACATGTAGGACATGGAATTTTCTAAAATCTCTAACAGCTTTAAATCCAAATATACAAATTTTGGCACACCCTTGTAACAAGTCTCCAGAGACTGCCTACATTGAAGGACATGAGAGGAGAGATACCAGACACTGTCCTTCACTGAGTGTTCTCATGGCTTCTAAAACTAATAGAAGGCTCACAGAGAAAAGTTGTTCCTTGTATGGCAGGACAGGAAGGGGAAGGCAGTATCCTAGAAGTACTGATGCTCATGCCATAGAGCTGAGAATAGCTTCATGTATGTTTGGACTGAGGGTGTGTGGGGGAGCTGGGGGGGTCATTCCTACTTTAGTAACAAGTATGTGCTGAGCACTGGGCCTTTGCACAAAACAGCACAATTATGATGAAGACAGAGCAGGAAGCAGATACTGTGGGAGAAGCAAGTGGGAAAGAAGGGGGTATGGGAGAGGACAAGAGGGAAGGATTCCTAGCTGTGGGACCTATGCAGCTGGGACAGAAAGTAGAATATCGGCCAACAGATAGGAATGAATTCACAGTTTTATGTGCACAGACCCAAGAGTGGCATGAGCTAGGCAGAAAATGAGTCAGGGCCGATAGAGGCCCAGAAATGTCAAGTTACAGGCTCAACTATAAACAAACCAACAGAATGCCTAGGAACTCTTAAGAAACTGGCTGCACACTAGACTTCACAAGATTGCTAGCCATGTGTTCAAATCTACTTTGTTTTTCTGTAACAAAAAGGAAGATGAATGAAAATTCCAGAAAACGTAATTTAAATAAATTTATTTATGTGAGAAAAACATCTGAACACCAGGTACAGTGTGATCGATCCACAGTGATCCAAGGATATCATGACTCATCTGGAAGCACTCTCATACAGTCTGTAGGAGAAATTCCATGTGGAGGATCAGCTGAACCATTTATCAAAATTCATAAAGCCATCTAAGCCAAATATGATAAAATATGCAATGACCATGATACAGTAGTAAAAATACAATATCAAATACTCACTACTTGTGAGTTATAAACTACAATATAAACACATTAGGCTCCTTTTAAAAATGAAAAAATATTTCTATTATAGCCTCATTTGAAGCACTTTCAATTAGATACAGCTTTGTATATTTTACTCTTAATAGCCAGCAAAGGAACACCCTCTTGAGTAGCTTTCACCATCAGTGCTCTGAAGTACACTTTCACATACACAAGTTCAGATAGAAAATGATGATCAAAGCTTGGAGCATCTTCATATCTGGTTAAATTTTTTTATATCTGGGAAAGGAGGAAGTAAAGAGATAAAGAAGCAACATGGTTCTTCTGGAGCGAGGAGGCAGTCTCAATCCAAAGAATGGACTCTCCATTCCGATTTCAAAACGTGTGGTCCCAAATCTGAATTCCTTCCAGTCCAGGGAGCTGCCCGATACTCTGAGGCAACTAAAGGATGAAGGAGCAGAGCAGGAGGAAGTGTGAGCTGACTACAGAGACAGTCACTGATAAAACATGGTCCTCGGCAGCTTGGGCCCAATCCAGGGGAAGAGCAGCCAGAACTATCAGTACAGTGTGTGCTCACTGAACTGCACACATGGAGCTCCGAGGTGGGTTAACAGTTCTTGACATGGGCTCCTGGTTGTAGTTTACAATATCTGCCTTCACCACTCTCTGCCATAAAAGAAAAGAGTTATTATCAAGACATCAGAAGAGGCCCCTGAGCATCAATTGTTTTCTGAGCTCTGGCGAATGTCTAACAACAAACATCACAAATGAAACAGGAGTTGGTATTAAAAATAATCGGCCAGAATTAACAGTCAGGTTTGGGACTTTCTTGTTTGCTTTCCCTTTTTTTTAAGGAAGTCATTCAGTTATGAATTTTAATACTTACTGAAGTTATCACAAGTTTTATTACAAACTCACAAATCAATATGAAGATTTGAATCATGGTTATAATTTTAGTACAAGTTAAATCATTCATGTATATTTAATTGATAGATAAGATATCACCATTTCAAAGATTTTCATTATTTTTTTAGTCTTTTTGTGATCGTTACACTTGGCCATAACTTTGTGAATTAGAAAAAGAGGCGTGTTTAAAGGACTCACATAGAAAACAGAAAAGTCCTGAGAAATTCCAGTTAAAAAATGTTTCCAGTTTTCAAAACATTCCTCTCAAAATACGCCAAATAGTTCACTATGGTTTATGCATAATGACTCTAATAAAACATGACATAATGAGGAATTTAAAAGTCACTTCATATCCATGCCTATAAGTCAACTTAAACCAAAAGATACCTACATACTTCCATCTTATGCTCAGTCTAAAACAATGAATTTAGCAAAATGTCTAATATGCCATCTCTAAGTAAAATTTGAAATAAAAACAAGCTCTCTTTTGATTTTAGTAAGTCCATGCACACAGACCGAGAAAGAAGGGCAATTCAAGTTTTTCTTTAAAGTAATTTTAAATAACCTTTAATATTGGGGTGAGGGAGGAGAATGGTAAGTAATTACTAATGAAATAACTGCTTCACTCCTATGCACTACATGTGTAATAAAAACCTATAAAGATAAACATAATTGAAAGTAACTGAAATGATATTTTAATTTGTTCTCAATTTCTTGTTTAATTTATAAATTTCCTGGTAAAAGACCAATTTTTCAAAGTTCTAAACCAAGACTTATGTCATTTTAATTAATAATATTCCTGCATAAGGAAGAACAAGGTAATATAACTAGCCCTCACCCCTCCCCAAATGACAATAATTCACCCATAAAGTACCTGCACTACTGTACTGAACAGACTCTACTCTGAGTAGAGCTGGGGTGTTGGTTATCTTCTTCCGGGTACTTGACTATTTCTGCCCTGACAATACGCTGTCAATTCCGTACAACATAAACAAGATGAAGGAGAAAGAAAAAAAAGAGAGAAAGAGAAAGACAAAATGAAAAGCATGTTTAATGACTGACAATAGAAGAAAACACCAAGCAGAAAAAGAAAATTAACCGATGAATTCAAACATGTCACAAAAGAATTAGCAGAATGTTCATAAAAGGAAGGGAAAGTAAGAGAGACCCAATACACATTGTTCTTGATAATCTGTCCAATCACTGAAATAGACGACTTTAACTTCCCTGCACTGCAAAGGGCTGTGGAAGTATTTGTTCCTTTCCTTTGACAAGCATTGCTGATGATCTACTATGTCAGTCACTCTGTGCTAGGCGTGCACGACTAAACCACCTGACAGATTTATTCCTATGTTACTATAGAGTTACTGGGCAAAGAATAGAACCAGCTGTCACACAAGCTAGGTGTTCTGCTAGTGAGTGGGATGCTGTGGAGACACTTGGAGGATGAAGCCTGTTGTTTCAGCAATCAGAGGTAGTGCATGCCCTTTACAGCTTTCATATTTGTCATTTTTACTTCCCCAGGGCTTCCTCTGCTGATTACTTCCCATCCTCCTAATCACAACCTCCATATTTCCAAATTTCATATAGAAATCACTCCAAATACAATTGTGAGTCATGAAAACAAATAATGAAATGCAATATTAAGGCACAATAGCTTTTTGCTTTCAAGAATTTTGCTAAATAAACAAAACCATAATACTACACATTAGTTGCTCTCTCCTTGGGGATAGGTCTCTGTGGGATAACCATGTATAGAGAAGTAACAAGGTCCTTGAATCTGAAGTGAGGAGGACTCTCTGCATGACTGCACAGACCTGATTTCAGAAGCTCCCCTTTCCTAACAGCATATTTTCATTCACTAAAATGAAAACACCTCAACATGAATAACTGTCTTTGAAGATCTTTCTTAATAAAGATTTGATAAACACTGAAAGTGAATGAGCAGGACTCTGTAGTGTATAAATGTGGGAGGTTAACTGGGTTCAGCATAAGTTCTCTACTGGATAGTATAAATTCTGGACAAGATTCTTCACTTACCAGACACCTAGCTTGGTACCATCAACAGAAGCATTGCTAACTGACAGATGAGACAGAAGCAGGGCACATCAATAAAAAATACACCATAATCTAACTCCCTCAACATAACTGTTTCATACCAAACTACAGGTTACAATGAAGCAAAGGGATTTTGACCGCCATAATAATAGTGTGAAAAAATAAGTCATTCATCAAGCAAGGTATTGTTTTAAGCATTATTTATAAACATAGCCAGGTTACTGAGCTATGTGTAAGACACTGGGGTCAAGGTACTAACTAATGGAAAGGACCAGCTCTCATCACTCACTTGTCACATTAACAAATAATCCACAAGACATATTTTCCTTGGGGTTCCTGACTTCTGCACATGAAGCTATGTGCTGTTTTCCAACCTGAAGCTGCTTAGTTAGATTATATCTGAGGCCCCAATGCTTGTTTGCTTACTTCCTTCCTTGTTTGTTAATTGAGATTCAATCTCACTGTTATTTAATTGAGATCTGATCTCACCATGTAGCCCAAGCAGGTCTAGAACTGCTATATACACTAGGTTGGTCTCAAAAGCAGAGAGATGTGAGAGCCTCCACCTCTGGTGTGCTGGGATTAAAAGTGTTGCCCACCACACCCAGAAGTTTTAAAGTATTTGAAAATATACATTTAAATTTAAAAAATGAATAGAAAAAAAAGGATATTTGGAAAAATACAGTCAGCAGTGTTCAGTGTGTGAGGGTTAGGGTACAACAAACATGAGAGGTGCCTTCCTCAGGGAAGGTGAGCAGTACTTACAATGGCTTCCGAAGAGCAATATTTGGAAAAGACAACTCTGAACTCCGCAAGGTCTCCTTAAGATTGTGAGCTTATACTATCTGTATAGTTTAACCCGCAACAAAAATCTAGTGCACCTACTCTTTGCAGGGTCATATTTTAGATAATAAAGAATATATATTTTAGCATGCCTATACAGCTCAGACATTATAGGAATTTTTGTTTTGAAGAAACTAATGTATGTCTAAATCAAACCACATAAATTCATGGTTTACTAACTAATATGTAAACATGTCAAGGCTTAAATCTGGTATTGAGAGCCTAAAGTCTACATGGCAAAGGTCTCAGACTGAAGGAAAAAGTACAGGAATGCGTGCTTTCTTCACAGACTGCCTATGAACTGAATGAAGAACTGAATGCTAGACATGCTAGAAGTGGCTCAGGGAAATGAAACTTCTCTCCCAAAGCTTTAACTACTACTCTGAACAATCTGAGAAACTAGAAACAAAAGTCCCAATTTTTACACTGTGATAGAAGGAAATCCGCCCAGGGGAAGGGGAGTGGTTGGTGAGGAAGGAGAGGGAGAGTAAACAATGCAAATGAAACTATAACCTAAATTCAGAAGCTAAAATGCTTTTTGTATGGATTTTGAAGCATCTTCCTGCTTTGTTGTGAAGTTTTTTCCTCTGTGCTTAGATTGCACTGTGGTCCCTTGACATTATGCAGTTCCCCAGAAAGGTTTGCTGTATCAAAAAATCTTCTTTCTCCCATTTTCTTCTTACAAAACTTACAAAATGTACTGATAACTCAATTGAAATGGAAGCAATCTAGATTAGAACTAAAATAGTGGAGTGTAAATACTCAGTACATAAAAGAAAAACAGAAACCTCATTATATGTAAGGAATCTTTTCATTAGAGAACTAAGAGAGACCTATAACCCTACACTTCAGAGGTGAAAGCAGGGGAGGCTACACAGTCAGGTTCTCTAAAGAAAAACACAAAAGAAAACACAAAACAGGATTCTCTGAACCTTAATCCACTAACTAAGAACTGATAAAATTTTATTCACTTTTTTCCACCAAAAGGGACAAAATTGCAAGACTATCATTATTTTGTAAAAATTAATTTTCCATCTTCTGCAATAAACACTTATTTATACATGTAATCTACTTCCAAGGTTTTGGGTGACATGTACATAGAATAAGTGGGGAAGAACTGATGAATAAAAAATTGTCACAAGAAATTCATTACTTTTTAAAATATAAATTTTAAGATAATCACCTGTGACTGTTCTATTTCTGTTTTGTTTAATTTGATTCCCAGGATTTCTGCTGCAACTTTCTGAAAACACAGGAAGACCTACATAACAAAAATAGGTTTAAATGATTTAAAACAGGCATGCTTCAGTTACCTTCACGTATACTGAACTTTCTAAAGAAGCATAAACACCAAGTATTCCAAAAATGGCTCCATTTGTCAAATATGGCAACACATAAAATGAAATCATTTTTTAAAGAATTAAACCACAATTTAAAAATCCAAGCAATTCATTGAATCAGTCTAAACACACGCTTATTAACAAAAACATTTTAAAAGATTTTTATGGATTTACTTTTATTTTATGTATGTTTTCTACCTACATGTATTTATGTACAGCACATATGTACCCAGTGTCTGCGGAGGTAGAAGGTGTCAGATCCCCTAGAAATGGAGTTTACAGATGATTGTAAGCCACCATGTGAATATTGGGAACCAAACTAAGGTCCTCTGCAAGAGCCACAAGTATTTTTAACAGCTGAGCCATCTCTCTAGCCCCATTTTAAAGGATTTAACATAACAATTACAATGACAAATGTAAAGAACACACCAACACATCTAATAGCATAATAAACTCCCACAATTCAAACTGAAAATAAGTTAATGTATACTTTACAGCTCTGGTATACTTTACTATCAGTTCTACGCTGGTCTACTGAGCTGGGTTTAGTCTGTTTTAACAGGTCTTGCTTTCCAAACCATTAACACTTTTGGTTCTCTTATCAATGTCCAAACTCTCCATTATTCCCTAAGTAAAACAACTTGGTACTATTTACTGTGTTTTATCTGTTCAGGGTAAAGAAGTGATAGAGTCCATTACAGCTATACATTATGAACATTTCTATAAACATCCTTTAATATGTAGTTGGCTTTTGCCAGGTCCTCTATAATCTCTGGAGCGTCAGCCCTAACCATTTCTGCTGTATAACATGCATTTGCTCTATAACTATCCAACCTCGTTTTTAGCCCAGTTCACCTCAGGATCACTTACTAAATACAAGTCACAAGTTTCCTAACTTAATTATTTCTAGGGGACTGAGGAGAAGGCTCAGAAGTTAAGAGTCCTTACTGCTCCTGCAGAGGACGGAAGGGTATTTCCCAGCACCTAGGTGGTGGCTTACACCACTTCTAACTCTAGTTCCAGAGGGTCCCATGCCCTCTCCTAGCTTTCATGGGTCCTGCACTCATGTGGGGCACATAAAAGAACTCACATAAGTAAGCACATACACATAAATAAAAACAAATAAATCTTTAAACAATTATTACTTTTTAAAAAATTAACAGCCATAAGTAAGGCCCTCACCCTAGCACCAAATGAAAAGGAAAAAAAAAAAAAAACCTAAGTCAAACAAAACACTGGACAGCAGCCAGGAATGGTGATTCATGTCTTTAACATCAGCACTTGGGAGGCAGAGAGACAGGTGAATCCCTGAGTTCAAGTCCAGCCTGATCTACAGAACAAATCCCAGGACAGCCAGACCTACATAGAAAAACCCTATCTCAAACAAACAAATGAACAAAAAAAAAAAAAAAAAAAAAAACTGGACAGGGAAAAATAGTCGCAAGAGTCATAACAATCAGTTACTGTCTCTAATATAAATGTGGACACAGTATTGTTTAACCAATAAAAATATAAGTGGTTAAGTAGAAAGTGAATAGTTAGTAAAATTTAATAAATTTCAATCTAAACATTCATGAAAGAAATTCAAAATTAGTAAGGTTTTTATTGTTGTAAATTGTTGTGTTCTTATGTGTACTGCTCTACCACTGGGGCAAAGGTTTAAAACCAATTAAATCCTTAGTATTACAAGGACCAGTGGAATAGAAATCTTACAATACTAGGAAAAGAATAGGTTAACTTAGTCTTTCTGGTGAACATCTGGTAGCATGTTTCAATCCCCAGTCAAGGAATCTATCTAAAGGAAATAAAGCATTAAAAGTTACTAAAATTTCCTAATAAAACTCAAATTTGAAATTTAGAAAAAAATAGTGCATAAATATATTTTTGAACATTTAATAAATGATTAAATTTATTTTATAACACTAAATGACATGAGAAAATTTTTACAGATAAAACATTAAATAAAAGGAACACAATATAAAACTACTAGACCATGATCTTAGTGTTTAATGAACTAAACAAATACTAAGTTTTGGTTAAAATGATAGACCTGAAATATCATTACTTAGGCTCACAAACCATATCTCTACCACTCAACATCTATACAGAATCAGCCCTGTGGCACAAGCTCGAGAAGATACACCTGCGCAATAGAGACAATCAGACTCACACACCTGCCATAAAGTAAGCAGCACAGTGAGGCCTTCCGTGAAAAGACACAAGAGAGTTCTCTGAGGGTCTGAGTGGGCATCCCTAAAGGCCAGAATTATGAGTGACTTGGGTATTTTATAATTCTTGTTAAATCAACTATAAAATTAACTAACCAAAATAAGCATTCTCATATGTTCTATTTATGTCTTCCCTCCAAGAGTATCACTGTGTTCCTTGTTAAGAAGTAGAACTGTACTTCCTGGGAGGAGGGGGAACATCCTCTTGGAGACAGGGGGAGGAGGAATGGGATGAAGAACTGTGGGAGGGCAGACAGTTAGTGAGGTAGTGACTGGACTGTTAAAGAATAATAAGAAAAAGAAAGAAAGAAAGAAAGAAAGAAAGAAAGAAAGAAAGAAGGAAGGAAGGAAGGAAGGAAGGAAGGAAGGAAGGAAGGAAGGAAGGAAGGAAGGAAGGAAGGAAGGAAGGAAGACAGAAAGAAGTAGGAGTGTACTTCTCAGAACAGTAGAAAGACAAAGCATCACTTACAACACACTCCATTGTTTTACTTACAGAGTCTCCCGTCTTGGCTGAAACAAAGTGGCTACTAAAACCATTTTCCAGGCAAAATTTTAGGTGTTTATCAGGTTTTACTGTTCGCATATGCTCCAAGTCAACTAGAAAAAATGTTAGAGAACAAAACTCAATATTAGAATCAAAAAAATGTATTTAACATGTTTAAAACTTTTTTTTTTACAATATCATTTCCCACTATGTAATATTGGGCAATTTTTTAAACTTTTTTGTGCTTCAGTTTCCATATTTATAAACTGCGAATAATGAATATAGCTATTAAAAATATTCTTTCAGAGTTAGTCAGAATTAGATCGTGAACAAGGACGGGCAAGTAAGTGCTCAAAAATATGTGTTACTATACTACAGCAAAACCTATATAAATTCACACACCATGACAAAGTTCAAAACACATATGGTCAATGTACTACATTTAAGCACAGTTACTAACTGATGTTGGGACATACAAACACAAGTATATTTGGCTGGAAATAGTTTAATTACTTACAAGACAATTTAATAATTAGAACAATTCTGAAATCTTTTATATTATATAGTAACATTAATTTATTCACACTACAGTTTAGTTTCACAAAGATCCAGCTACTTTCCAAACTGTTAATAGCATCAACTTTGAAGATAGTGAGCAAGATATATTTCCTGGCCTTTAAAGTACAGGATAGAATCATATCTAATACTAATAGCACACTAGTTTTTTCACATGAAATCCTGTAATGAATGCTTTCTCGTGCACAACACTATAACCGTCTAAAGGTTATTTAATGATATCAAATGGCACAACAAATATAGTCACATGATTTAAAAAGTAACTAAGCTCTTTGAATCAACAGAGAAAACTTTTTTAAAAATGTAAACTGATTTCCTGAGGAAAAGACTTAGCCAACTTGTAAAAACTTAGAAGTTTGCAAGTGATTATCACCTGAATATGCTTTCTCATTTCATAAAAGGCTTCATTGAAAATCATATTGAGTTTTTAGTTTGAAGGCTAAAGTTTCTCTAGGAGAGTGCTGAACCAGCACAGGAATCCTGCACCCCACTTTCACTGCTGACCTTGGAAAATAGGGAGATGATTTTTTTGGTTTGGTTTGGTTTTATTCCTTCCTGGGTGAATGAAAAAAAAAAATGAACTCAGCAAGTTGTATTTATAATTTTATATGAATATACGTGGAACAAAGAATAAGCAGCCATGATTTGAGGTAAGTAGGAGTGCTGAGGGGAGAAGTAGGACGAAAATGATGTAAATACAGTACTCATGTTTACAGGAATGAACTCATCTTGCTTTCTCTTTCACTCACTCTGAGACTCCAGACCATGGAATGATGCCATCCACAGTGAGCACATCCACCAGCCTAATGTAAATAATTCCCTGTAGGCATCTCCAGAAACTTGTTTCCTAGGTAATTTTAGATCCCATCAAGATAAATCAAAAATAACCATCACATGAGATATTAGAACTAATTATGTAGTATGGTATGTTTTTTTATTTAAGCTAAAGTAGAGGTAGTTTGAGCAGGCCATCTTTGGTATTTGCTTCACCCTCTTTCAATGTTGAAGTCAAGGAAAATGACATTCTGTAGAGAACTAAAGAAAAAAATGATGTAGGTTCTCAACAAAGAGAATTGTCTACTTTGAGTAGGATGAAAACATAATTCTGAAAAGAAAGCACAACTATTTAATGAATCCCTGAAAAGAGTGTTTTTAATGATACTGTCTTTGCAACACAAATTGTTGAAGAAGCTGCTCGTTGCTCTTCCTTGCTTTTTCCCCGAGTTAAATTATTAACTTGACCCAAGAACTACAAAAAAATAGTTTCACACATTATGGTTTTTTTGTAAGGTCTATTTTATTCACAGTGTAGTGGTATTCTAGAGTCTGCTTTACCATAGTAAGAGCCCAGGAAACAGATAAGCCTTCAAATAAATGCTGAGATTGCCATCACATTTGCTAAACAAGAAGCCTTCCAAGACAATACAGAAAGCCCAGAGAAAGCCTCACATATACACTAAGACAATGCCTAGCAAAAAGATCAAGCTATTCAGTATAGAAAGAACCATTTCTTCAAGAAATGATACTGGGAAAACTAGATACTGACTTGCAAATGAATGACGATAGAAGGTTGTCATATGTTAAAACTTAATTCAAAATGGATTATAGTACCTAAACGTAAGGCTCAAATCTCAAAACTGTTGAAAGAAAACAAGGAAAAAGCTTCAAGACATTGGAATTAATATAAATTTCTCAGATAGGAGATTGAAAACCCAGCATCGGAAGAAACAAACAAATGGAACTACATCACACTTAACAAGGCATACACATAAAGCACACAATCAAGAAAGTGAAGAAAGAATCACCAAGGTATTACTATGCAGAAGATACATTTTAACTTTTAAAATACTTTTGAAAGTCTTAAACTCAACAACAGAAAACACATCCAGGTTAATAATAGGTAAATGATTTTCTAAACATTTCTTCCAACATGATATTATCATGAGATGTGAAAATCAAGACAGCAGAAAGCATATCTCACACACATTAGAATGACTCCCATATCAATATATATTAATATTTAATAATATATATACATATACAGCCTGCAGCCCCCACAGTCCTGGAGTGACCAAAGAGAGAAACCCAAGTGCCCACCCCAGCCTGCAGTGGGCACCACTACAATGAACAAATATGTGATGGATGGATAGGACAGAGAGAGTACAGGGTGGAAAGATGGGAGAGAAAGTGAAGCAGAGCAGTTCGGGCACTGTGGAGAGAGGTGGGACCAGACACACAATGGCAGTGAGGAACAGGAGGCTATGAGGAGCCTATGCAACTGCCTCTGGCCAAGGAGAGGTCCTGGCTCTGGCTGCTGCCAAGGACCATGACTTGGTGGGTTCAGAGCCTATGCAGCCAAGGTCTGTGCTGATGTCTAGTGGCCATCTGGATGGCAGTGGTCTGGGCTGCTGCCTGAGACCAAGTTGATGTCTGGGACCATACTGTCACCAGCAGCCTAACTAATCTGAGTCCTGCCACTGAGGGCCATGTCTGGGCCCATAGTCCTGCTTTAGCTGAGGTCTATGTCGATGTCTAAAGCCTGAGTTACCACCAAAGACAATGTGGATGTCAGTGGCATGGGCTGCCCCCTGAGACCATGTGGATGTCTGGGGTACATACTAATCTAAGTGGCCTGTGCGACCACTTGAGGCTATGGTGACATCAAGGCCCATGCTGCTGCATACATGTGTGGAGAGAGGGGTCTGCATCTGCAGTCCTATCACACCCAGAGTCTGAGTTGATGTCCAAGACATGTGTTACCAGCAAAGTCCATGAAGATATCACTAGTCTGGGATGACACCTGAAGTCATGTTGATAGTGACATGAGTGCGGGAGAAAAGCACCCACCACACACACCCCTCCTATAGCAAGTGGATAAGCTGGCTGAGGGCCTCACCTGGGTAGCACTGTAGAGCTGTCTCTGGTGGTGGGGCTGGGTGAGCCAGCTCTAAAGATGTGAGAGCAGAAAAGTTGGCTCTGTCCCTTGCCTGAGCATAGTGGGACAACCTGCCCCAGTGATGCTGTGCAGGAGTGCAGGTGAACTAATCAACTCAGCTTCTACCCAGGCCCACATTTAGGGTTCTGAGTTGACCCACCCCAATCATGTTGATAGACATGAGTAGGGGAGAGAAGCCCCCCTGACACAAACACACACACACACACACTCACAACCCATAGATGGTGGATACCCACCCCATATATGAAATGCTAGGATGCATGAAGGGTGTGGTCCCACAGATCCAAAGCTTCAGGGCCAAAATAACACAGGTCAACAACAGGATATCCTAAAGGAGTCCCTATGAAGATCCAGAATTGGTAGTGTAGTAAAAGTCAGAGATCTCAAACCAAATCAATGATGTATTTCAATTAACATTTGAAAGAAAAGCTGTTTAGGCAAAGAGTGTACTATGTGACCCACTGTAACAGACAGCATCAGTTTCCATGGAGAGATGGTTTTCTTGGGTTTTGTTTTTTATTTCTATTTTTTGTTTTCTTTTATAGGGAAGTTGCAAGGGCAGAGGGCAGATATGAAGGGACAGGGAGATGAGTGGAATTTGGGGTATATGATGTGAAATTCACTAAGAATCAATAAAACATTTAAAAAATAGCAGTGTTGGTAAGTGTACAAACATTGAGACATTTGTGTGCTACGGCAGAAATGTTGAATGTCACAAGTGTTGTAGAAAACAATATGGAAGACACTCAGAAAATCCAAGGACTTGTTACCATGTGATCTATCAATCTTACTTCCAAAATTGAAAGTAGGGTATTGAAAAAGAATTTTTGCATACCCACACTCATAACACCACCAAAGACAAGAGACAAGAAATGTAAATGAATGTATATGTCTATCAATAGATGAATAAACCAAAGTGATAAGTATAAAATGGTTAGTCAGCCTTTAAGATGAAGAAATTCTGTCTCAGACTTTAACTTGTAGTTATTGGGCCAAATGAAACAAGCCAGTCATTAAAAGAATAATACTGTATAATTCCAGTAACAGGCAAATATTGCATATCCAAAAAGATGATCTTTACTGTTGAACTTTACTGAGCAAGAAAGAAGATGATATCACATATAAGAAGTCTCATTTAAGCAACAACTGTTTCTAGGAATGGAGAGATGGCTCAGCAGTTAGCTGAACTTGCTGCTCTCTTAGCGAATCTGAGTCTGGTTCCCAGCATCCATACTGCAGCTCATAATTGACTGTAACTCCAGCTCCAGGATCTCCTCGGGCACCCGCCCACACATAGAAACACAAGGAGAAACATGCACACAAATAAAAACACAAGTAAACTTTTCAAAGTAAGTAAGTAAATAAATAATCTCAACTACTTAATTATCTATATTAGGGCAAATATAAAGGATACACGGGCTGCATGTAGCCATAGTTCTTTCCAGGACAAGAAGTTAAGGTTGGTAGTAAAGAATATATTCTTGCCAGGCATGGTGGTATAAACCTTTAATCCCAGTACTTGGAAGGCACAGGTAGGAGGATCTCTTAAGTTTGAGGTCAGCCTGGTCTACACAGCAATTT